GCCTCTACTACACGGGATAGAGACAAAGGCACCAGCGAAATCAGGACTTTGTCTCTACCCCCTGTAGTAGAGGCAAAAACTGGAGCCCCGTCTGTTGTTTTGACCAACCCCCCCTTTACAACAACCGCCCACATTACACCACATTTCCACCACAGGTATAAGAATCTGCGATATCCAGAAGAGGTTCTGATGGGTGTTGGAAGGGCTTGTCTGGAATTTTGAGGGGTTTGCATTGGATACCCGCACACTCAAAAGTATAGTTACCAGTTCCTATACAGTAGTTTGTACAGGCCTCGCAAATGCATATTCTGCACGGCGGGGAACTGAAATACACACCAAATCCATTGAAAATACACACCAAATCCACTGAACTACACACCAAATACACGCCAAATCCACCGAAATACACATTAAATCCACTGAAATACACACCAAACCCATTGAAATACACACCAAATCCATTGAAATACACACGAAATCCATTGAAATACACACGAAATCCATTGAAATACACACAATCCATTGAAATACACACGAAATCCATTGAAATACACACGAAATCCATTGAAATACACACAATCCATTGAAATACACACCAAATCCACTGAACTCCGCACCAAATCCATTGAAATACACGCGCAATCCACTGAAATACATGCGAAATCCATTGAAGTACAGACGAAATCCAGTGAAATACACACCAAATCCACTGAAATACACACCAAATCCACTGAAGCACAGACGAAATCCATTGAAAATCCACACCAAACAGTATGCATCACAGGCATCCACAGGCACTGTGTTGTTGTTGTTGTTGTTGTTGTTGTTGTTGGGGGGGGGGGGGGTAAAACAACATGACGGGGCTCCTGTTTTTGTCTCTACCTAATGTACAGACAAAAAGCAGATATATGGGTTGACGGGGCTGCAGTTTTTGTTTGTACCTTGTTGTTGTTGTTGTTGCTCCTGCTGCTAGTGCTGCTTCTGTCGCTGTCGTCGTTGTTGTTGTTGCTGTTGGCGGATGTTGGGACTGCTGTGCAGATGCTGCTTCAGCAGTAGCTGCTGCCACTGATACTAACTACTATGCCGATGTGCCATCTCCCCTTGCATCACGTGATGGATGAGTGCTCCTGCCTTCCTCCTCCACGTCTGCGGAGTGGTCTACGGAGTATCGTGGGCGCACACCTGTCCGTAGCTTCGACTGGTGCGGGATGTCTATGCATGGATTACGTGATTAAGACACACGACTGTCAAGTTGTCCTCCCCATAACATATCTAGATTTGTGTACGTGCGGAGCGAAGATCGTAGCTGGCCTCAGTCAAAGTCTACTCAAGACTGGTCGTATTGCTTTCAACCCATGCTCAAAGAAAACAGCCACCAAAACCATCGGGGATGCGATGATGACAGTTGATTTCACTTTGCAAGTTGCACAACCCTCCTGTGAACTACTTCTGCCCACTGCTCCCGTCACTGGTATTCCATTGCTGTCTCTTCTTTTTCAGGTTCTCTGACTCTTGCTACTGTGATTAAACCGAGTGGTCCTAGATTCGATTCTAGATGCAAGGCCCCGCCTGACAGTCTCCTAGGAGCTGGCTCCCCTTGCTTCACTGGAGCCATCACCGCTGCGCCTCCACTCCAGGCCCAAGACTTAGACTTAGCCGTGGGGTTGTACTTGGGGGTATAGTATGGTGTGGCTTTGCAGGGACTGCAAGAGGATATGACTACAGGCTGTAGGGTGCACGGTTTAGGGCGGATTGATGCCAAAGCAGAATACAGTAGCCGGGAACTTGAGGCGGATTCGAAAACATCGTGATTGTAAACACCCGGCATTGGCTTCCCAATCGATGCTGGAGAGCTCAGTCGCAAAACTGACAGAACGCGACTACGACTTGCGTAGCTCTGCTCTGTCATGCCGAGGTTTGACCGATAGACATCCGTTGTCTCCACTCGACGACACAGGTGTCGGCCAGAAAGCCGTCGGCATCTTTCTCCCTACGCGTGTGCCTCGATTACCGATGCCGTGGCTCAACCCCCTCATGTCATCGGGATTGCCTCCCTACAGCAACTACAGTGCCGATACCTTAAACCCAAAGCCCTAGGCCCTCCTTGCATTATAGCTCCTACACCCCCAAAACGAAGGCAGTCAGTGAGGGCTCCAGCCTTCGCGGCTTGCTCTCCGGGCTGAGGCGATAATCTGCTCAGCACCCAACAGTCCTATGCCATCAGATGCAATGAGAGCTTAAGTGGGTTGTCTGGTGCTCTCGTCTGGCTATGAGGCATCTTCCAGCTTCCAGATCAGAGCCTCTGAGAATGTTGTTTGCAATGTTGGGCCCCCTTGCTTTGCTGAGCTCTACGACCCAAACCCACGCAGTCCCCTAGTAGAACCTCGAAAACTACACCAACCTCAGTGCAGCCCCACATGCACTACAAGCATCTCCACAATCGATAATCAATCCTTGTGAATGAAGCTAACCATCAATAATGACAAGAGCAGTTGTTATGAACCAGCAGTAACTACCCATGTCAGAGATGCATGGGCCTTTAAAGCCGCCGACGGCCCAGGATGTGATGGATTCGCGCTCCCGGCGTGAGCCCCGGCGCTCAGATTTGAGGGCGCCAAGGTCCAGCCGTGGGCTCGCCGAAGCGCCCTGGTAGACCCATACATGTTTGAGTCACTACGTACCTGATTATGTATATATATATATATATATATGTGTGTGTGTGCACCATATCTATATCTATGTCTATACCTATGTCTATATCTATGTCTATATATATACACATAACTATATATGTGTACGTATTGTATCTAATTTTAGATTGATATGTACATATGGTTTGTGTATACAAGCACATATCTGTATATATATATATATGTACGACGAGAGTGTTTGTTCTTGCTGTCGTTGTTTGTTGTTTTTTGCTGTCGTTGCGCGTGCGTTTTAGCTGTCGTTGCCAGGGGGGCATTTTTTTTTTTTTCCGCCGTTGCTGCGGGGCGCGATTTTTGCAAAAAAACGTGCCGTGGTTGAGGGAGGATGCGGGCGTTTCTTTGCTGTCGTTGCCGGTCCCAGGGTTCTTGCTTCAATGTACTCCGGTTTGCTGCACGGCCGTAATACAAACCCCTCAAAAGGCCCGTCTTGCACCTATGCCAGAATACGTACAAAAAAGCAAAGATTCCGTCGGAAACGCAACGACAGCAACAAAAGCAAACCTCCTACCGCGGTTGGGGCGAGTGTTTTTTGATTGCTGTCGTTGCGGGGCCGCGATTTTTGTGTCGCTTTCGTGCCGGGGGCCAGGGTTCCATACAAAACGGAAATCACATAAGTATATAGCGGAGTTTATGTGTGCACAAGCATATATACACACATACATGCATACATACATAAACCATACATACATACGTACATCCCTACGTACTTGCACACATGCATGCATGCATGCATGCATGTGTGCATGCATACTATCGTATGTATGGATGTGTATTTGTGGACCTCAACACATGAAGACGAACAACTGTAAAGTCAGGAATCATGGGGGTGCAAGGGGATGGTGGTGGGTGAAAAATTTGACCAGAAAAGGAACTTGAACCAAAAAGGCAAGCGAAAGCGAAATTCAACACAGCCACGTCCAAGCATGCGCAAAGGAAAAAGGCATGTGTTGAAAATCAAAAACTTGCCTTCCGGGCTTTGAGGGCTAGCAAACCAAATCGTTTCAAAAACGAAAATCGTTTGAAGCCCTCTTAGTCCGTATACGTTCAAGTTCCCAGTCAAAATATATATATAAAGATATAAATATATATCCGAAAGATATTCCCAAAATGGGAGCAGACGGAATAGAAATATAATTCCATTCCGCAAGATAGAGAAATGTGCACGCACTCAAACGACATGTTTTCTCGAAAGGAAATGCCGAGTCAACGATCGACCAACCCGACGAAACCCCCAGCCAATGCAGCAAACGTTCAAACCCCGTCCCACCGTGGAGAGCAAGCTCCAAAGGGAAAGGGGAAACGCACTGGGCAGAGGGAAGGGAATGAAAGGGTCGAAAGCCAAGTAAAAATCGTTTCGCGACCCGGAAAGGGGAAAAGACCCGAAATCAATCGAGAAACATGTCATGAAGTGCAGAACACATTCGCTGGTTTTCACTCGGATGCAAAACCGGCTGTCAGAGCTAACCTGAGACTCGAGACAATGCCAAGTCCAGCAAGCGGAGTCGCCTTTCGATGTCAGCATTGAGATTGACAAGGGCGTCCAGACGTTGTTCATGATAGCGAAGGCAGCGAACATTCGCCAAAGGCGAGCGCAGCAGTCGAGCTGCAGTGTTCTCTTCCACCGCCGTAAACACGAATGAAAAATGGTCATCCTCGCCGCGTGGGCGAACCTCGTTGAGCTGGCCCTGTAAGGCATAGATCGCATCCCAGAGTGCCGCCAAGCTGGAGTTGCGCAGGCTCGCAACTTCAGCACGTAGCATCAGCACCTCCGCACGAAGGAGATCACACTGGAGACACGGCGGAGGACAGGCCCCCAACGCTCCAAGATCAGCCTCCCGTAGAACCGGCCCCGAAAGTGGAGACGACTCTGGAGCAGCCCCGGATAGACAAGAAGAAGATTCTTCCGAGTGGCCCGACATGTCGGTGCAAAGCAAGAAAACCCTCTGGATACTGGAAGTAAAAGACTGCGGAGGGCAAGCGAGGCCGGCAGCAGTCATGCATCATAGATTAAGAGACGAACTCCGTCAAGCCGAAGCTCGAAGTCCGCTTCAGAGTGCAATAAGGAACCGGTACCGACCAAGAAAGGCCGGGGCGGCACGCATGATCGACGTCAGCAAGCGTGCTGAAGATCATCCGGTCGCACAGCTCCCCCACGTGCACGGCATGACAACAGAGCAGCTTTCAGCAATGAGGCTCCAGACAATGCAGAGAAGCGTACCGCGATGTATTTTTCGCCGCTGGCGAACATGCCTGCAAACAGTTGGAAGTAACAAGAAACATCGCACTCAGGGTCTACTTGAAAGGAGGCGGCCACGAGGCCGAAGCTGGTTCAAGCAGGAGCCGCTGCTCAAGAAGCCAGTGCATAGGCGGATGCACCCGGTCATCCAAGGGCAGTGGTGCAATGTCGTTCGGCGTAAGCCGGCTGAGAGCATCTGCAAGTTCATTGCGATACCCAGGTACATGCTCGATCTCAGCCTGTACACCAGACCACGCCTGAAACGCAAGGAACTTCTTCACAATCTCGCTCATGGACAGCACCGATGAAAGGCCCTTGGAGGCACAGGCCTCCGCACCGGAGTTGTCCGAACGAAGGCAAGCCCGACATAGTCCACGATTGGAGGGCAGAGTGGCGAAAACACACCAAAGCAGCAACAATTGAGCCAGGAGTTCCAACGCCGAAATGTGTGTCTGGAGGGGCGGAGGAAACCACGAAGTGAGAGCCGCCCACTCCTGACTGTCTTTTCTAATGGAAAACCAGACAGTGCGACCACTGGGCCACATGGCGTAGCCTCCTAGCCCAGACACGTCCGCATCTGCAAAAGCGTCCGCCTCCGCAATGACCTTCAAGGGGATCGGGCTGCGAAGCGCCTTCAAGAAGGGGGTTCCCTGGAAGATGGCACGCCAAGCAATTAAGCTTGACCTGCCGACATCCCCGAGGACTCGCAGTGGATGCCCAGGATCCTTAACCTCGACCCACAATCGGCGCTTCCTGAATGGCACCTGATCAAGATCCTGCTTGCAAGACACAAAGGTATTGGCCGCACGAGTGATGCAAGCACCTTTATGGAAGGACGGATGTCCAACCGAGCGGGTCAGCACACAATCCTCAGCAATGTTGCGCTTGATCGCAGCCCATAACTCAGGGCTGACGCCAACCGAGGAAGCTGGTAAGCGCTGCAGAGCTGCATATAGTGGGGACAGCAAAGGCCGAAGCACCGTCCACAAGCCAGTAACCCACAGGAGACGTCCAATGAGTGATTCCAAAGTCTTGAACCTGACCTTGTCGCCAGCAGAAAGAAGCTCAGCGATTTGATCGAGAATTTTGGAAATTTTAGCCGACGGCAGCTCGCAAACCCAACTTTCAAGATTGATGGACCATCCAATCCAAATGCACTCCGACGACCAGACGCACTTTGGCCAAGAAAGTGGTACTCCCAGTGCTAAGAGCAAGAGAATCCAGATGGAGGCAGAGACCGGAGCCACATCGCCGCGAAAGCCTCCCAAAAAATCGTCCACGTAGCCCCAAAGCAGATGTGAAAGCCAGATCGCTGCGTGCGACAGACGAAGTAGGGCTCCACCAACTCTGGCCCACCAAAAAGCGGAAGCTCTGGCCCCGAAATTTAGGGTGCTGGACGTAAAAACCCGTCCCTCGAAGGTGAAGGCCAGCAAAGCCTGGTCACAGTATTCCACCATGACCATGCGGTGAGCCTTGCGCACATCCAAAGAAATCGTGATCCAAGGATGACGGCCTAGGCAGGAGGGAGCGCAATCCTCAACGTCGGATATGCGTGGCAGCAGCATATGATTTGGAATCTGACAAGCGGCCGTGACACCACTAATGGAGCTGTCAACCGTGAGTCGAGGTGACCTACCTTCAGCCAGAACCAAGCCAAGCTTGCCGATAGCCACCGCCGGGAAGTTATCGTGCAGGTACTGAACCGAAGGTCTCTCCACGATCCAGCCTTCAGCGATTTCCTGGGCCAGGAGCTCCCGGACCTGATCCGGGTGGTCGGAGGCACTCTTCCAAGAACCTTCGCAAATCACGAGGTCCGACACAACCGGATCTGCCGTGCGAAGTGGCCAATGAGGCGAGGGCTGCAGTTCGTGGTCCACACCGATCCGCACCCCTTTCCGAAGATGCTGGCATAAATCCGATTCAGGGTCTTTGGTAAGAGCCAGCAGCTTCTCTAGGACGTTCAAGCGGAAAGGCTGTCCCGGTGGGATCGATAGAAAAAATGCTCGACCTCCGATTCAGGGACCTCACAAAAGCAACACAGGTCATCGAGAAATGGCTTAAGCTCCTCTGCGCTGATAGGTGGACAATCGGTACCAGCACGCAAAGTGGAACAGATGCGGAGACAGAGACGACTGTCGACCAGACGCTGCGTCCACTTCTTGCGAAGACCTGCAAGGTAGTCATCGGCCTGTGGAGTAATCCAGCACGCTGTACTGTTGACACCCGCACCATCCTCGACGCGGCGACTCAGCTGAGGCCAAACAGGGTCCAGGGGGAGCACAGAGCGCCACTCTGCACATGGAAGCAGCCGGCCTTGAGACGAAGTGTACCTTCCCAGAAACGCCGCCAAAGCGGCAGCCAGCGATTTCGGGTACGCAGCTGTCATTCGGCTAAGGAAACTCCCATCAGCAGCACGAACCCCCCACACAGCCTTGTGGGCTCTTCGGTTGTGACAAGTGCTTTGCCCATTGCACCTCGTGCTCTTGCACTCACTGAGGAGCAGCGGGACTTGCTCCCTCGGCCAATTTCTGTCAGTGCGGTCGCTTCTGGCCACCAACTCCGGACAGGGATTTCCCCTGACTTGCCTCAGTTGCCTATGTCTGACTTTGTCTCTGACTGCAATTCGGGGCGTTTCTTTCTGGATCTCTGTTCCGGGGCTGGGGCTCCTGTCAGCGCGGCCATGCAAGCCTTGGGCAAGGACTGCTTTCAACCAGTCGACATCATTCATTGCCAGGATTTCGACCTTCTGGAGGATGAATTTTTCGCTCAACTACTGGCGCTCTGCTCCAGCGGCGTGGTGGGAGCGGCTATTGCATCTCCGCCCTGCGGGGATTTCAGCCTTCTCAAGCTGCGACCGGGCGGACCACCCCCGTGCCGCACACCGGAGGAGCCGCTCGGGTGCATTTCCAACGATTGGCATCAGTCTATGGTGGCTCAGAACAGTGCTCTACTTCATGATCGATGTCGAGAGCTTCTCTCCAGTGTTGCGGCTCTTGGAGGCTGCATTGTTTTCGAGCAGCCGCCATCTTCCATGACTTTCTTGACGGAAACAATGCAACAGTGGATTTCCAGCACACTTTCATTTGGTGCCCAAGTTGCAGCTTGTCATCACGGCATGGATGTGTCCAAGCGCTGGCTCTTCTTGTCCAACAGGCCGGATATACTAGAAGGGAAAGGCGGGCGGAAGTATCGGCAGCCAGCGACTCACAAGCACGAAGTGTATAACCCACTAGAACCAGACGGCGGCCTTCAAAGGGCAGGACTTCATGAAGGCAAGATGATGCAGTGAAGATCACGGGGCCGCGACATACAGGAAGAGAGACGGCCGGGTGCTTGACGCCATCATGCATCATCACATCAGCCCCGGAGGGGTGCGCAACCCGCAACTCACCACCGGAAAAACAAGAAATGGGAATAACCACATTGGGGAGGTCCGAGTTGGCAGTATCACAGTGGATCTCCGACGCAATGCCATCGATCAGGACAAAAGATGAGTGGAAAAACCCAGGTGACATTGAAGAAATGAGCGAATTCAGAACTCGCACCGATGAAGGGTGTGACCCGCATACCTTGCGCAGGCCGACCTTGATCCGATGGTAAAGACCAGCCGAGACCGAAGCACCGCTAGAGAAACGATCGTCAAGGTCAGGTGCTTCTTGCAGCAAAAGGTCAGCAAGCCTCTCAACGCTTTTACACGATAAGGCCACTGATTTGGACAAAATCGAATCTGCAAAGGATTCAGCCTCAGACTGAGAGGACTCAGAGGCCACAGGGGCAAAATCAGGCGGGGGATCAAGGTCCATGCCATCCTCCACCGCTGCCTGTCAATGAGGGGCAGCAGTATGCGCGGAAGCAGGGTGGGCAGCCCCACATGGCTTCCCATCAGCACCAAGGATCGGGCACTTGTGACTGAAACGGCAGGATTTGTTTCTGCACTTATCCGTGTGATAGCGGATACACGCGCCGACCCCGCCGATCTGGCGAGCCCAATTGCTCGGCCAGTTGCTGATGGAGACGCGATCTTTGGAGGAAGCCGCATCCCCACTCTTGCGTGGCTTGGCTTTGCTCTTGGCTTTGGCTCGAGGATTGGGATGTGGAGCGGGCGGCGGTTCAGTGCGCTGGCGTTTGCCGCGAGGCTCACCACCACCCTGGTGCACCTTCGGCCGCGGAGCCAAAGCGTTATGAAGGTCCGATCGTACATGTGTCAGTTCCGAGACACAATCCTGCAAAGACCAGCCATATTCCTTTTGCAAGGAGCAGATGGCACTCCAAAGCACACGATCGGCATCCATAGCCTCCGCCAGCGTGGGTCCTCGCAGGGAACGATCAATCGGGATTGCTGTCGCCAGGCTCACAAATTTCTCCGAGAGTTTCTTCAGAGTCAGTAAGTGGCATGCATCAAGAACCGCGAGGGCATAAGACATGCGGTCAAGGTAGCGACGAATCACAGACTCAAGGGGGAGGTGCTGCGGGACATCCACCACAAGTTCATCCGAGACCGGACCAAGCAGTGACTGTAGCATCTGCGAGTCCGTGCGCGGTTTGCGTCGCTCGGTGAGAGCCTGTTCATCTGACTCACTCGTTCGAAGTCGCCAGGAAATCCAGGAGAGCTGCTTAGAGTCGACCGCCTCCTTGACCGCATTCAGGAAAGGCAGGCTTGGCATAACCTCCGGGCGAAGGAGTTCCGAAGGATATTTGCGCGAGAACTCCACCACAAGCGATTGCACATCCGCAGGTTGCAGTTTGGGTCTCGCAGCTGCCGGGGTCGGTGCAGCCGGAGACGAAGCACCGGCCGGCCCTGCCAGATTGATACACTCTTTAAGCACACGACGAAGGGCAGCCGCCTCCGGAGAGAAAATGGGGACCGTCGGGTCCGCACCCACTGCTCTGCCCAGCAAAGACTCAACAAAAGCCTCGAGGTCATCCAAAGACGGAAGAGCATGGGCCAGCAGAGCCATGGTGTTGTAGCCTGCATCATGAAGCTTGTCCTTGACTGCATCCGGGACCGCCCATCTGGTGAGAAGGCCCGTGAAAGCGGCGGGGTCATCGAGCATGACGGTGGATCCTGCCATGGCTTTTTCTTAAGTCCCTAGCAGCCAAACGCTAGCGATTGCCAAATGCCGAGAAGTGCAGAGAACATAATGCACCAAGCGGGGATCCCAGCTTTTGCAACCTGAGGTTACGTAGAAGACCACGGCCGGTTGGCCGAGCTCGTCTAGCACAAAGCAGAGAGCCGCGTAGTACCAAATGCACTAACACCGGCCGAACAAAAGATGCCAGGAAGCAAGTCCGGCGAGGCAGATGCAAAAGCGGCTACGACCGTGCACAAGGCCCGGGGTGCAAGCGTGCATCCCCAGGCATGCAACGAAGCCCCGCAACCACGCCCGACCAAGAAGTAGGAGTCCAGCAAGGATGCAAGTGCGGGGTCCTTCCCACACCCGTGCTTCAAGCACAAACGTGCACCCTTCGGGATCACAGATGTCCGAACTAAGGCTCCAATTGCCAGATTACCTCTTATGGAGCAACCTGGGCGAAGAGGAGCATCCCCAACTGCATCCGGAGCTGGGCGGAACTGACAAGCTGGATGGTCTGCCCGGCAAGGCTTGGCAAGATGCACAATTGACGTCATTGGATTAAATAAAAATTCGAACTCTTCCGGCTCACCAAGATCCTGCGGTGAAGGCGCCGCATCACCGGACGAGACCAGTTCCCAAGCTGCGGCCGGGGCCGCTGATGTGGACTCGACCTCAGGAGCCGCCGGAGCATCATCTTCGGAATCAGAGCTCGAATCTTGATCAAGGACCAACGGCTCTCTGTCGTGGAGCCTGGGCACCATCGGAGGGGCTCGAGAGTCCGAGGCGGCCGGCTCCAGAGCCGGCACAGCAACTGTGATGTCAGGGAGTGGCGGCGCGCCACCTCGGAGGGCTGGCCTCAGCGGTCGGAATCCATTCGCCACTGCCTGGACGATAGAAGACTGGAGTGCCAGGGGACCTGAAACATCATCTCTGCCGTATAACCGGGTCATGGCGTGCCCCGGCGGCGGGCGGTGGTGTCCTTGCTCTCGCCGCAAGGCTTCGTCCAACAAGAGTTGCTTAGCCAAGGATAAGAATGTGACTTTGGCACTATGCACGCCAATGAGTGACAAGTCCGGCCGTTGATCAGCCGGGTAGCTCTCGAGCTCATAGCACATCGCCAACAGTCGGCGGATCAGGACCACCCCCGCAGCACGGCTCAGGGGAGCCAAGAACACCGGAGCACGGTCATCGGGACCCAAGTCGGCCACCAGAAAGTCGGGCTGAAACCCAGGGCGAGCGGCCGAAGTACGGGTCACCGCCTCTTGGACCAGACACAGCCAGACCTGGCCCCAGCCGGGTGCCGTTTGAGGCCGAGCGAGAAACCCGGGAGCCCAGGCTCCCCACGGCATGGATCTTGAAGTAGTTTTCGTCCTTGTAGCACATCCAAGAAGCGCCTGCCGATCCAAGTGAAGAAAGGAAGGCGGAGACCACTGAGCATCAGACCAGCGAAGGCTGGCAAACACGCACACCAGAAGGAAGCCACACCGAATTCGATGTGCCGCGACCTGGGTCGCATCCAGCACTTGCCTTTCCAACCAAATGACGAAAGAAAGTGGGAAAGGTGCTGTCTCTCTGCGCTGAACCACATTCACGGATTTGCCAAAGGCCCGGACCGCCTCAGACTGTAGTGCCAACTTAAATGACTGGACCTCCAGCCGCGTAGTGACGAACCTGAAGGCCTTGAGCCACGCGATAGCCGATCCCAGAAGACCTTTGCAGTGCGTGATCAGGAAATCGCAGAGGAAGGCAACCTTGGGTGCCCATTCGTCTGCCGATTGGACCTGGCAAAACTCGACCCAATGTTTCCAACGTCCGAAGTAGTTGGTGAGAGTCGACGGAGCATTCCCCTGAACCAGGCGCACCAGAAGTACCGAAGAATTCGGACTCTGCAAGAGCTCTGACACCATTTCAGAGGCAGCCGCGGCTGTGGCTGCCAGTGCCAGCCAGACCTTAAGCTGCTCGTTTTTGGCATTCTGCCAAGCCGACAACATAGTGCCCGGTGCAGCCGGCTTGTAAGGATGAGCCGCAGCAGGAGGAAAATCCTGCATGTTCGAAGGCACCCTCGCACTGCGGAGCGGAGCAAAGCCGCCCTTAGAGACCACTGACACGTCCACCGGGCTCGGAGGTCGAAACCTTGGTGCCAGTGGCGGTGCAGGAGCCGGGGAGGCTCCGAAGCCAAAGGCGCGCGGTGGCACCTCGGTAGCAGCAATGGAGCCAGAGCCGGGCTCGGAGCGGGCACTGGTGCAGGAAAAGACGGCTGGCGAGGCGTTCCATCCGGCATCCAGCGACTGGCCATGATCATACAGAGAGACCCTAAACAAGCAGACCCACCCCCAAAACCTGAGCCTAGCAGAAAGGTCAGAGCGACAGGCTGATCCGCAAGCAAACACAGCGAGCCCAGGCAAACGGTTCAACGAGAACCGGTGCATCGCAGAATTTTCCAGAGCAGTTTGACAAAATCGCCTTGGTGCCCGGTAAACACAACCTGTCAGTCGGAGCGGAGGCTATGGGTATCTGAGCTCAAGGTCGCCGGCAGCCGCGACACCAAGGACTCGAGGCGAGCCACACGGTCAAGGAGTGAACTGGACCCTGATGTCGTGTCCTGCTGAGACAATGACTGGAGGGCCTGTTCAGCCCGCGCCAACCTTGCCGGGAGAGCAACTGATAATGCCTGCGCCGCCACCTGGGGATCACCTGTGATCGTTGGAACCAATAGGCCCAGAGCCGATCGCAGATCATCAACATTTTCCCAGAGCAACCTGACACGAGTTTCCAAGCGATCCAACCTCCAGGACAATGCATCCGTCTGTAAAGCAGTCTGGCTGACATGAAGCGACACAGAATCCAAGCCCTCGGATAGAGCAGCAACTCTCTGTTCGATAGCCAGAAACCGATCCGCCGCATCCGACAAAAGAGAATTGTCAGAGTTCGGAGGCCACACCAAATGTTCCATATTAAGAAGCCTGCCCTCAAGGTTCGCAGCCTGTGACATACACAATCGAAGATCCTGAGCGAGTTCCGCAAGATCCGAGGCAGTGGCCCAGGCCGGCTGGACCAACGCAGGTCCCGAGGGAGGCGGGCTTGAATCAACGATCGGATCATCCTCAAGAGAACTGTATGGGCGCCTCCTATTGAACCTGAAGCAGAAAGGTGAAGAACTCCGCCGCGACATAGAGGGCCAACCTGACAGCAAAAAGAAGAGGGGGGGGGGTCAGAAGAATGCAACACAGAGCCGACGAGGGCGTAGATGCCTCGCAGTCCCAGCCAAGCGTGGACTGGGAGAGTCACGACCTGACAACGAAGATATGCTTCCGCATACATGGTCAGGCTGAGGCAACAGATCTGCCGAGTGCGGCCATAAGGCCAAAACCGGAGATCACCGCGGTGAACCCCCAGTCGACCTAACGCCATCGAGAGCACAACGGGAACCGAGAATGCTGCGGTTCCAGTGCTCGATCTGAGACAGGCGCTGAGGCTTCGCACAAGCCAGCACCGACCTGATGAGTCACGTGATATCCCCGGGCAAAGCCTGCAGGAATCAAGATGAGGAGTGGACCCACCACTCGGATCCGGCGCGAAAGCCTGAAAGCACAATGGGAACCGAAAGAACCGTTCCCGTGCTGCCAACTGAGGTCGCAGCAAGGCTCTTCAAAGAAAGCCGAGACCTGAGAGTGCACGTGAGATCGCCGGGGAACGCCACCGGGACTCAAAATGAGGAGCTGGCCGAAACGCGAGCGAGCACCACCGCGACCTGAACAGCGGGAAAGGTCGAAAAGGAAAGGCGGGGGGGGGAGGAAATCGGGCCGAGAGCCACTACGCACCACAGGCGTGAAAGCCCAAAGCTGAGTTTACGGCGCCAGCGTGGCCCGCCCCAAATTCCGACCCGCGCCCACAGCCGGCACTCTAAGCCGAAGGACTGGGAGAGAAGGTGCAGCTCAGCTCACAACTCTGAAGCCCAAACATGTTGTGTTGACCCTCAAGTGCCCATGCGAAGACACCCGCACCGAACGGCACTCACGAAGTGGAAAACAACATGACTCGGGCAGACCTGGAAATGCGCATGCGAAAGTCTGCAAGGTGCTGTTGTTGCAGCATTCTCCGGCGGAGATTTTCACAATGAGGCCACGAAAGATCAGTATGCGATGCTAACGCTCGAAGCCCCTAGAGCCAGTGCAGCATCCCAGCACCTTCCAGGACGCCGAGAGCTAACTGGCTTTTTGTAACCACAAAACCGTGCACAGACCTTCCACAACACATGTTGTAAAGCGTGACATGTTCCAGCACAAAATTCGAAGCAAGGCCCTGAAGTTCAGGAGCAGCCCACCGCAAGCTGGGTAACAGCCTGCGAGACACACTGTGGCCTGCAGAACTGAAGTGCTAGCACCTTCGAGGATCCAGCACGCCAACAAAATCTATGGCCCAAGCCCAGAAGAAGCTCAGATTAGGATCTGCCATTCCTCAGCTGTGCACGGAGACGGTCTTGATCACGCCGAAGACCATCGATGGAGTACGCAAGGTCACTGAAGCGTGACCGCCATCGAGCCTCGCGATCGAGGAAGCAGACGCGCAGGTCGCGCAGCTCACTCCGGAGGGACTCCAAACGGCTCTCCAGTCGCGTGGGAGTTCGGGGCGAAGAAGTCGGCGCCTCCGTGGAAGATCGGACGGCAGCCTCCCGAAGGGGAGGGAGGGGGCTATCCTCAAAAACATCTTGCAGATACCCATGCACCGGGGACTGCAGGGCGGCCAGCCGGCGCCACAAAGCAGCGTCCTCAGTGTCATTGACGTAGTCCAAGGCCGCGGTCCCAGCAGAAAGCTGGACGCGCCCACTGTCCCGGGCATCATCGCGAAGAGCATCGAGGTCAAGGCCAGCACTGGCGTGATCAGACCGGCGGCCCTCCTCCGTGTCCTCATTGTAGAGGTCCATATCATCTGAAGCTAGCGAAACCTCATCAAAAGGGTCCATCCTTCGATCATGCCGAGTTTGATGAAGCCACATGAACGCTCGAGCCATAGTGAGGTCTCGCCCAAGCAAAGGCCAGCTCGCAGCAACGCCAAGAGCCGACTGGAGGCGCAGGCTGCAACAGCAGCTGAAAAAGAGATCACCGAGCCAACGCAGAGCGCTCGAGTGTCCCTATGGGAGCCCCGCACCCGCTACGGAACTCTTAGCAGCGAAGCCTTTAGTGAACCTCTACACTTCACGTGTCCGTGTGACGGAGTGGCGCCCAGGAAGAGCGCACTCACGTCGAAACTCGAGGCTCACAATGAAAAATTTGACCAGAAAAGGAACTTGAACCAAAAAGGCAAACGAAAGCGAAATTCAACACAGCCACGTCCAAGCATGCGCAAAGGAAAAAGGCATGTGTTGAAAATCAAAAACTTGCCTTCCGGGCTTTGAGGGCTAGCAAACCAAATCGTTTCAAAAACGAAAATCATGTGTATTTGTGGACCTCAACACATGAAGACGAACAACTGTAAAGTCAGGAATCATGGCATGGCATATACATGCACACCTCGAAATGCATTCACGTCTCACATGCAGGCAGCTACAAATGCATGCATGCATCAACGCATACTTTCATGCACACTTGCATACATGGACGAGCAGACATGCACAGGCAGGTACTTGCAAGCACACACATGTGTGTACATACATCAACACTCTCGAATATATACATGTATATACATATACATACACCCTATCGAAACTATATGTAACAAAAGCAATGGAACAGTAACACATATATGCATATATATATGTAGAAATACACATGTATGTATGTGTGTGTATATATATATATATATATATTACACATAAACAGATACATACACATACACCTGCATACATACCTAAATACATGCCTACGTACATACATACATACAGACAGACACACATACGTGTGTGTGTGTGTGTGCACGCGATCGTGCTTGACGGAGCATGCTTTGCATGGTTACGCATATTGGAAGTCGAAGTCGCTTGGACAGAATGCACGAGCTTATCAACAAATCATGATGCCTGTTCCTGCTACATGTACAACCAAAGCATGGTAGGACTGCTGACAGCTGGATTTTTGCGAAGATCCATATGCCTCTTATGGAACAACACATTGCCATCCTCCTATGCTGCTGCTGCTCTGCTACTCCTACTCCTACTCCTACTCCTACTCCCACTCCCACTCCCACTCCCACTCCCACTCCCACTCCGACTCCGACTCCGACTCCGACTCCTACTCCTACTCCTACTCCTACTCCTACTCCTACTCCTACTCCTACTCCTACTCCTACTCCTACTCCTGCTACTACTACTACTACTACTGCTGCTGCTGCTACTACTACTACTACTACGACCACTACTACTACTACTACTACTACTACTACTACTACTACTGCTACTACCACTACTACTACGACTACTACTACTACTACTACGACAGGTGCTGCTACTGCTACTACTACCACTACTACTACTACTACTACTACTACTACTACTACCACTACTACTACTACTACTGCTACTACTACTACTACTCCTACTCCTACTCCTACTCCTACTCCTACTCCTACTCCTACTACTACTCCTACTCTACTCTACTCCTGCTCCTACTCCTACTCCTACTCTACTGCTACTACTGCTACTATACTACTACTCTACTCCTACCTACTCCTACTCCTACTCCTACTACTACTACTACTACTACTACCACTACAGGTGCTGCTACTGCTACTACTACTACTACTACTACTACTACTACTGCTACTACTACTCCTACTCCTACTCCTACTCCTACTCCTACTCCTACTCCTACTCCTACTCCTACTACTACTACTACTACTACTACTACTACTACTACTACTACTACTACTACTACTACTACTTCTCCTTCTTCTTGCTGCTGCTACTGCTGCTGCTCCTGCTCCTCGACTGGTGCTGCGACAACTACCCCGACCACTCTTGACAAATCACTTCGGCTGCTGTTGAGTTGCGACCACCGCTGCAACGGAGATGCCGCCAAACCAGAGTGGCTCAAGCCAACAGCTATGTTCAAAACACTTCTGAGCCCCGCGCCCTGCCAGATTCTCCGCTAATGGAGGCGGCCGCGGCTGCCAGTAGAGCTGCCGACGGCGCGGGCGGAGCCAAAGTGCCTGATTTAACTAGGGCTTGCAGTTTGGAGTCTGAGTCCAAGACCTCTCGGCTTGAGATTACGCATGTTCGGTCTAGTCTAAGCGGGACAGCTGCCGTCAAATCATGCCGACCACGACAAGTCACCACTCGACATGTGGGAGTGCTCGGACCTTCGGGTTGTGCGCTCTTTGGTGTGGGGCTCAGAATTGATCCACGCGGGGAGTACCATCTGAAGGCAAACGGCTGAACTCTTCAAGTGGTTAGGGCCAAGCGGAGCAATCATGTCGCATATTTTTGAATCTGAGACCGTTGCCTGCCGCCGGCCGCGGAGGAGCCGCTGAAGCAGTTGTCATGTTCATGCTGGACCTTGCTTGCTTACAGAATCGCGGCTTTAGACAAGCAAAGCCAAGGGTAAGGAAACAGTGCGAGAGTCCAATGGCAGAGTGCAGCCCAGTCATATTCCTGCCCTGCCCCGTTTCAATCAGTTGCCAACTACCGTTCTAACTAATCCAAAACGCCTGAGCATGATGACCATTGACAACAAAAGTCACGAGAAACCGATGAGTTGCTCAAGTCAGTGGCCTGCGAAACAGCCGTGCGAGAGGGTCAGCGACGACCAAGCTTTTCCGAGCCTTGTGTGCAGCAGAACCACAAGGAAAGGCACCTCTTGCCTCACCTAACCGTAGACGTCTAAATCTTTAAACCCTGACGCGCTGCTAAGCCTTGACAAAGTCCCACAATGCCTAAACCCCGAAAGCCCCCGGCGTACAGCTCTACAAGTCTGCACCAACAGCTACTACTACCACCACCACCACCACCACTACCACTACCACGACCACGACCACGACCACTGCCACTGCCACTGCCACTGCCACTGCCACTGCCACTCCCACTCCCACTCCCACTCCCACTTCCACTACCACTACCGCCACCACCACCACCACCACCACCACCACGACCACGACCACGACCACGACCACGACCACGACCACTACCACTACCACTACCACTACCACTGCTGCTACTACTACTACTACTACTCCTGCTGCTACTACTACTACTACGACCACTACTACTACTACTACTACTACTACTACTACTACTACTACTACTACTACTACTACTACTACTACGACTACTACTACTACTACTACCACTACTACTACCACTACTCCTACTACTACTACTACTACTACTACTACTACTACTGCTACTACTACCACTACTACCACTGCTGCTGCTACTGCTACTGCTACTACGACTACTACTACTACTACTACTACTACTACTACTACTACTACTACTACTACTACTACTACTACTCCTGCTGCTACTACTACTACCACTACTACTACTACTACTACTACTACTACTACTACTACTACTACTACTACTGCTACTACTACTACTACTACTGCTACTGCTACTACTGCTACTGCTACTTGTACTGCTACTGCTGCTACTACTACTACTACTACTACTGCCCCTACCACTACCACTACCACTACCACTACTACTACTACTACTACTACTACTGCTACTACTACTACTACTGCTGCTACTGCTACTTGTACTGCTACTGCTGCTACTACTACTACTACTACTACTAATACTACTACTACCCCTACCACTACCACTACCACTACTACTACTACTACTACTACTACTACTGCTACTACTACTACTACTACTGCTACTGCTACTGCTTGCTACTGCTACTTGTACTGCTACTGCTACTTGTACTGCTACTGCTACTACTGCTACTGCTACCACTACTGCCACTACTACTGTTATTTATTACTGCTACAACTACTACCACTAGTACTGTACCAGTGCTGACTACTTCTATGCTGATGTTGTTGCTGCTGCTGCTGCGGCTGCGACCACCATTTCCACTACCACCAGCACTCCAACACCAGCACTGCCTTACAGCCATCAAAGATGCTGCCAGGAGTATCGCTACTTGGGACGACTGCTACTATGAATCGGCATCCCCTCCTTATGACGGTCAGTAATGCCGAGCTAGTGGCGGATTGAGGCCCGTCTTGACCGCCTGCTCGGGTCTTTCGCTGTTGGGTTCAGCAGGATCCAGCTATGCTTGCTTTGGGTCTTGTCACCTTTGAATATACCTGATCAAGCTTCTCTGCGGACATGTGTTGCAACTCCGGAATCCAGCTCACATGCTCGGGCAATGCAAACACTACAATTCTCAGAAATCTCCGAAACTTCCCTTTTGCTCGGATGACCGTATTGAATTAATTATCACAGCAACTGCACTGGCCTTTGGAACTCAACAACAAAACCCAAATCCTTAGTGTTCTAAGGCGCCTTGTATCTGCACCCCAAGAATCAGAATAGCCCACTTTCCACCCCGCACCGGAGCTTGTCAGCCCGAAACCGCGCAGCTCTTGCAGTCGCGTCGGGCGCCGAAGGAGCTCCTCACTGAGGTCCCATGTGATAGGCAATGTCACGGCTCGGTCTATTGCATGATCGTCTGATGGACCACTTTGTGAACCACTGCAAAATATAGAAAGCCTCTGAACAAGAGTGCTTCCATGCCTTCATGACTCTCGAAAACTCCCTAGTTAGCTCCTCCAACCGCTCCGGCTTTTCTTGCGGCATCTTCCGAGACGTGCTCGGGGCAGATGGACCTCGGCGAGTGCTCTGACTCCGATTTCACAGTGGTGGAAAATCCGTGCGGGCTCAGCAGGTGTAGAAAAGCGGCATCCGGACCTTCTTGTTGCTTGCAAACTCTTCGGTCGAAATCCGCGGAAACTGAAACCCGGTGCACGGAGGCTTCCATCTCGAGGGTTCTAGCATTCAAGATCATCGACACTCGCTTGATGCCAGAAACTAAGGGAGCAGCTCTGCACATCTGGAAGCCATGGTCGCATCCATGAGGGCCTGCAGCCCGCAAGACGACTCACATCGCCTCCTCTGGGACTAATTGTAGCACTCTTCATTATCATAACCAGCATGGTCATGATGATGATCATCGTTACGGTCACGGCGGCAAGAGCTCAAACTTGATGATGCTAGGCAGCAGATCCAACGACCTGTTCACAAAACCGATGTGCTTCAGAAGACCCTGCACTTTACGAGCTGCGCCTGGAAGCCGTGGTGGCCATAAGCGGCGGGGGATGTGGAGGGTAGCAGAGGTTGAGCGGGGGCGAGGGCAATAGTAGTTCGGGTCCTGCCAGTTGCAAGCTTGGGTTTGGGGACCATGGAGTCCACGAACCTGAGGTGATGTTTCGCGAGGCTTCCTCTGCCCTTGGCTTGGGAGGGTTGGGCGTGGGCATCCATGCTCCATTGGGCCGAGGTCCACTTCCGCGAATGTCTGTGAGTCAAGGATTGTCCATTCCACATCATTGCAAGCTACACTGTAATGGTTTCGCTCTATGTACTTTGCATGTTCTGCAATTTGTGGGCTGAGGGTATGACAAGCCGAACCATCATTGGCATTGACTCGGCAATGCTCATGGACCCTTCTTGCAGAGGGTCTTGGCGTATAGTATGCCGTCATGTAAGTATATAGGTATTGTCAGCAATGATGAACCCAGAGCCTTCAAGAGGTTACAAGCGAATCCCAGCTTCGATCGAAGAGCCCTCGGAAGTGTCAAACCCTTCTAGGACATGTATGTATGTATGTTTGTATGCATATATGGGTGGTTGTCGAAATTATGGTCCCTTTTTGGGTACCCTCAATATTAGGTCATTTAGGTGCCGCCTTCTAATCGGGACCCCCAAAGGGGCCATAATTTTGACAACCACCCATATGTCATGTATGCATGTCCTCATCTGTATCATATACCCATTGCCATGGGCAGTGGATTTGTAACGTGTTTGCGTTTGTTTGAAGGAGTGGGTGTCTGATGAAATCTGAAAGCCCGCAAATTCAGGAAACCTGTGCGAAAGGTCGGCTTTTTGCATCATCATCATTCCGGCGCTACCCGAGGTCTTGAAGGCCTTTGACATCGTCAGCTCCTGCGCGGCGTGTAGACTTTTAATTTTGAGCGGCTTGGGGCTTTCGGCGTAGGGTCGGCTTCAGAGTTGCTCTGGTGCAGCTGAGCGCAATCGCAACGACTAGACCCAAGTCCGGAAAACGGCGTGAATTAGAAGTAAGATGTTTCAGGCTGTTTCAGGCCAGAACATTGGAGTCAGCGGCAAACAACATCGAACAGATGACCGGCTGGTTACAACATAGCATGCTGGTGTAGCACGCGCGACAGGTCTGCGCCACTGTATCGCGTCATCACTCATCGTTGTGTTTTGCAAGAGGTGCAGTCATAGGCAAGGTGCCTCGATCTTGGCTCGCACCAAGGCTTTCGCCAACTTCCAGTTGTCGCCCACCACACGGACGCCTGACAAGAAGAAGTTAGTGTAGCAGTGCGCTCGATCGCGTCTTTGTGCTGCTACCGGTACTTGCTGTGACGATTGTGATGGCGATGATGACGATGACGATGGTGCTGATGGTTATTTCACTAAGCATGCTTTCAACTGTGGCTACTAGGCTCCAGGCTTCGACAAAAAAGTTGGACCGTGAACATCCATGGACGTCATCATGGTTGGGCCATAGATGCCCCGAACTTAAAACTGACTAGTTCGAGAAACGAAGTGGGTGAAGCGGTTGTGTTCCTGTTGCTGTGGTTGTTAACGGTAATATGAGCGAGCTATGGACCGCATCCTAAGACTTACAAAGCTATTGGCAGGGGGGTATTATGGAAGCAGTCTTCCACAGCTTCGACCAAAGTACGGCTCCCGCCCTTCTAAGAGCAAAAAAATAAAGCCCGTGCCCAAGACGAGCACCCGTGACGTAGAGGACTTCCATGCCGCAGCAAACTCAGGCTTAAACAAATGCAAGCCCGTGTAAGCCCGCTTGTCATTCTAGGAGTCAAGCCTTGCATACCACCAGGAGTTGCAGATGGCTGTATGGTGATCGACACCTGGCCGCCACACCTCGACAAGAGCTTGGGTGCTGCTTTAGATTTGACGAGGCTTTGGGGGCCAGGAGTTGGGTTCGAGGCTTCGTCATTGTCCGCTGGAAGTCCTTGATGATTTTGCTGGACAGTTGCTGGATGTACTCGATCACTGTGATGCAATCATTGTCATCATCCGCTGATTTTGGTTTGCCGAATGGCTACACTTGCCACTGTCTTCACCAACAGCAATCAGCAGGATGCGCGATGTTCGGTGTTGATTCGCAGAGCTTGGGATGGCGGATCGAATCGCCCAAGGATGTATGCGTATCAAGGGGAAAGAAAAGCCACATCTGATCGGAACCCCATACACACTGTAGTGCCTAGAAGCTCAATGCATTGTGAACTGCAAACCTAACCTCATAGAGTGCAGACTTTATGATAAAAAGCTAGCCGTCTTCATAATTGAACATGGCACTTCCTTGACCAAACCATAATCGATATCTTATACTAGTTAGTAGTGGCACTACTCGTAACATGTGCTGCTATACCTACCAATTCCTGTGTCGACTCGACCCCCAAGCCATACATACCGGCCTGTGGCGGGAGCACGATTCCCACACAACAAGACTCCAAAATGCACGCCTCGCTCTCGCCCAGTGCGGTAACAACAAGTTCGGGAGCGCCGAACAAACTCGATTTATGTCGATTCGGCGCCCGGTGCAGACTGTGGGAAGACTATGAGGAGTGCGGAACCACCTGGCCCGCCTACCTCGAGCATCTCAGAAGGACAACAGTTTTGTTACCCGTAATACTCCTAGGCATCATCATCGTCATCAACAGCAGCAAGATCGTCATGATCAGAATCAGACTGTCTGTGCTACAGTATAGTGACATTCCGTGCCTCTCGCGGAGATCCTTGATGGTCTCGCCGCCCTTCCCAATGAAGAGTCCGACCAGATCTGCCGGAATCTTCACGTCCTCCTACCAGCGCTTGCGATTCAGATGGCAGGTGTATTTCAGGTTTATGCTTGGTTGGGGCAACATCTGTCGGCGCGGGGCTTACAATGCTTGTACCATGTATGGCAACATAAACCGACATACATAGATAGATAGCTAGATAGATGGATAGATACATAGATAGATAGATAGATAGATAGACAGATCGATAGATGGATGCATCTACACTACATTATAGATGCATAGATATATTATGAGATACATAAGACTCAGACGTAGATACATACATGCATAACCATGCGTACATACACACCTACCTTGGACTCGGACCTTGAGTAGGCCCGTGCTGAACATGATTCAACACTCGCACCATTAATTTGTAGAGCCGTTAATTTAAACCAAGACTTGGACCAAGGCATGCTGCTCGCTCCGCAGGTACGGCATGTCTGAACAACAAGTCTGCCTTGGCTGACGTTGCTCCCGTGACTAAAACCGCCAACGTCAGCGCTGCTTCACAGTCCCCTTGGCCCAACCCATTCACTGAAGCCCGCCTCGCTTTGCTCTGCAAGCGCACCAGTCGGGGTCCACTTGCCTCAGAGCTAGCATCAATGAAATGTGCAGTCCCGATCTAATGGAGCATGGGCCTTGGAGGGTCGTTCCTTCGGCTAGGATCCAGACACTAGGTCGAAGCTTTCGTGTTTCGGCCATCATGTTGCCTACACGTCCGCATGGATTTTGGTAAGATCGAGCATCCTGGTGAGGCGGACTCCTAGAAAAGCGAAACTCAGCCGGCCTTATCAGTTTACGATTACTATGACTATCCCTATCACTATTACTATGACTGTAACTAGTATGATTACTGTTATTATTACTACTACTACTACTACTACTACTACTACTACTACTACTACTACTACTACTACCAAGTAGTTATGAGTATTGCGATTATTCCTTTTACAAGTACTATTATTTCTATTGATATAACTACTATTTCTATTCCTACTACTATTCCTAGTACTATAACTGAATGAAATGCGATGAAGAACCCTCCCCTCAAGTGGCGCAGGGCCTTGGATGCTCCCCCGAATGCGGCTCGGTGGCAGCCTCTGGCCCGGAAGATGTCCTGAATCACCGCTTCCGCCCTTTCCTGAGCCCCATGCTGATGGTGGGGAGGGGGATTAGTGAGGTGCTGATGCTTCTTTCAATTCTTGAAGCTCAATTAGGGCCAAGGTAGATAATTCAATTTTGACGGTTCCGACTTTAGACTTCACGGCTTACGAGAGTTATCGACTTATGCAAACTTCTGGATCTTCCTGAACTTCAGCCGAGCGTCGATGTCCCCCACCACCGAAATGCTTCCCTGGGGTTCATGTGGCAAATGATTCCTTACTTGGCCAACGGAGGAAACGAAGGCTGCATTTTGCTAACCGCTAAACCCTAAACCCCGAAACCCTAAACTCCTAAACCTTAAAACCCCGAAACCCCAAACCCCCAAACCCCTCAACGCTGCTTTCTCACTCGATGCTGAGATTCACCTTGATGTCGCATCCGGACCGGCTGCAGACCTCGCGGATGGTCGAGCCGGCCTTCCCGATAAGGACACGGATCCTGTCTTGCGCTTTTAGGGCTTATAGGGCTTTTAGGGTTTATGGGGATTAGGCTTATGGGTTTAGGGTATACGGTTTTATGCTTTAAGGGTTTTGGGGGGGCTTCGGGTCCCGGGGCGGTCTACCGTCTTTGGGGGTGATCAGGTTTACATGGGGGGTTGAGCCGGTTTTGGTGTCTGCTGTGTTTAGAGCTAGGTGGGGCTTGTCGAATTTAGGGTTTGGCGTGTTCCGGAAAGTTGAGAGTTGTAATTGTAGGTGCTTTTCTAGTGGTTTAAGTTCACCTGTGTAAGACGGATACAAGCACATTCAGCAAGCACCAGTCAAAGAAGGTGTTAGCGGTGTTCAGGCATGTTTGTGCTTTATAAGGCAACGCAAGCAAAACTGAGCTGCTTGCATCACATTTGAAGCTTTAGGGTTCAAGTTAAAGCAAGAGTTGTACTTTGGATATAGGACGAAACATCTATGCAGTAACAGCCAAGGATCAGGTGTGCCGGTAGCTCGATGACCTTGTGCCCCTTGGGTGCATTTGGGTCGTTCTTGTGCCTGGGAGCTCCGGTCGGGGCGGTTGCAGCCGCTTTTGGGGCATCAGATGACTTGAGCACCTGCATCATGTCCTGCATCCATGCAGGGGCGCTGGCACTGCTCGAGCCACTCGTGGCCTCGTCCCACTTGCTCCGCTTATCTGCTGACACACCCGGCGCTCCGCTGGGCAAGCTGGCCGGGACGCTCGCGCTCGGCACGCCGGGAACCGGCGGTGGCTCCACCAGAGAGCTGCGCCCGCGGCTCTTCTCACGGCTGCGGCTGCGCTTCTTCCGCCGGGATTTGGACCTACTCTTTTTCCGTCCACGGCTCTTCCGCCTGCTGCGGCTGCGACTTCGGCGGCTGGAGCTTCGCCTCTTACTCCGGCTGTGACTGGAGCTTCTGGTCTGTTTACGGCTGCGGCTGCGGCTGTTGTCGCGGACCTTCTCGGGGATGTCCTTCATGAACTTGCTGAGGGCAGCCGAAGCTGCTGCTTTCACCTCAGCATCTGTCAAAGGAGCGCGTGAGGCTTGGGCCGCAAAGATCGGAGGCGGAGGTGGCGGTGGTTGCTCCATCATGGCAGGAGGTGGAACAAGAGGGGGGCCAGGCGGCAGATGGGGGTGTCCATGAGGCACCGGGTGCGCATGTAAGGGGACTGTTATTTGAGGGAAAGCAATCGGCGTGCCGAATGCCGTGGGCGGGCTGAGTGGCGGGGGAGGGGGAAGGTGCTCCATCGGAGTGAAAGGCGCCACTGCCGCCATCTGGAAAGCCGGCACTGCGGCACCGGGGACCTCAGTGAGCTGGCTTTGCCAATGTTTCTTCGTGCAATTATAAGGGGGTCATCACGTGGCTTGAGAGCTGTAACTGTGCCGTAGGTGGCCTGCAGGAGACACATTTGAGCCCGGAAATGCTCCATGAAAGGCGGGGAACCTTACAGGCCCTGGGCTGGAAGATGCAAACGGAAACTTGGTGTGACTTGACCGAGCGGCATTGAGAGGCGGAATGTTCGGCTCAGCCCACATGGCAGCGAACGGCACCCATTCAAGAGACCCTCGCTGGCCTTTATATGAACCCTTGAAAATCTTTCCGAAAGCTGTAGAGGCCACAAAGCTCGTCACAAACATTTAGCAGCTGGTGCACCGCACCCGGTCTGAATTCTGATCTCAGGCAAGCATGAGTCGCATGCTCCTCATGACATGAAAGGGGGGCATAACCCAATACAATACAGCTAAACGAGCCGGCAAGCAGATGCATCGAACAAGCATGAAGGATCGATGGTGCCATTGCATGGCAGAACACCGTGAAACGAACGCACCCATCTACAAGGCACAGCAATTTTCCCAAGGATGGCTTCAGCCCAGTGCTAAGCTGCTAAGCCTCAAACAAGCATGGACAACTGCTGATGGAAGTCTGGCCCTGATGCGCAGACTTTGCCACCACAGTACCGTGAGGACGTACACCTCAGGAGAGGAAGTATCAGCAAACATATTTGCAGCGGTACTGTCTGCAGAAAGCAGCTCCTGATCTGGAACGGCGTGCGTTTTTGGCCGTGTGGCTGAACCCAGAAACGTGCTAAGCCGTGTCGCGATGTTTGTCTTCATTGCAGCTAAGGGGCAGCGGTGGCACTTCGAAAGTGGAGCCGGGGACAGCCAAGTTGACCGAGCCGGGCTGGACAGATGAGCGGGGCAGCATCGTTTAAGGCTCGTGCATGAGAGTGTGGCAGACAGGGCTTGCTTCTCTACAACGGAGGCCTTATGGCAGGGTCACGCTAACTGGCGCCGCTCCGACTTGTTCCTCATAGCTGCTCGTAAGAAGCATGCATACGTATGTATGCATGCGTCGGTGTATATAAATACATATAAATACATATATATATATATAGATAGATTATATAGTCTATATTCATATGCAAATATCTACGGACATGCACACAGGTTTCCGTTGACATGTGTTGGTTCTGCTTCGAATGCAAGTAAGTAATGTAAGTCAGGGTATCTCCTAGCATATCTGCATGCCGCGATAAGTTGTGGGGGTTTGCATGTATACCTGAATGCACAGATGAATTTCTGCCATGCAAGTACTCTACCCGTTCCCTGCACGAAGGATCGGTCATCGATATGGCTCCGAAATTCGCACCAAAACCATAACCCCGCAGCCCTGCAGCCCACCTCGAACAGGTATTGGTCATCCGCGGGTTCCGCGGGCGTCCTGGAGCAGGCAGTGCTCAGCGCCCGGCTTTGCCAAAGTGGGCGCGAGTTCTGTCTCGGATTGCGCGGATTTAGGGGTTTGATGTTTATCGGTTTAGGGTGTAGGTAGGATTCAGGTGGTGTCCAGCCCGGCATGCACAAGCCGTGTAGCCTTGCAGCCTTGCAGCCCTAAACAACCGTAAACAACCCCTAAAACCCTAAACCGCCTTGATCCTAAACATCCGGGCACACGTCTCCTCAAGTAGTTGTAGCCGTCAATCCCACAGGGCAAGCCAGTCTCCACATCCTGGGAGCTTCGGGGCGCAGCATCTCAGTCAGATCTTGAGGTTTAGGGTTTGGGGCTAAATCAATGTAACAGCTAAACCCACACGAAAGCTGCTAAGAGAAGCTTGCTCTTTCCCATACTGTCATTCGTATGCGCGTGAGTGACACTACAAGAGAATCGACACTTGCTGAAGGTTTATTTGATGCGGTTAGACTACCCTGTCCTGGAAGTAGTAATTCAACTTTCCCGGAAAGACGCCGGAGATGCCTCGGATCGTTATAGCGCATGGCAATGACAAGCCAGAGGCCGACATGCTTGCTGCAAGTGCTTGCTTTCTTTCCCCCGTTTCGGATTAGGGTTCAGGGTTGAAGGGTTTGGGGTGTGGGGTTGCGGGTTTAGGGTTTAGGGTTTGGGGTGTTCTCGGGCGCAGGATTGAGAACAAGCTGCCCCACTTGTGGCACGCGCGCGATAAGATTTGCTCCTGGCCCAAGTAAACGAGGTTGCCGGTAGCGTTGCTCACCCATTTAGGTCCAACAGGTCCTGACGCTCGAATCACGCATTTAAACGTGAGAAGCAACTTAAGCCTGACATGCCTTAAGCTCCAACGTCGCATAGCGCGCCTCCACACTCGTAGGATCCTGTGGAATAGGTGCAGCACTTGCAACAATCCTTAGAAGGACTACCTCAAAATGCGCACCAGGCCGACAAAGACCCAGTGACATGAGTTCCTGCTTGCACATCCGAGTGTCTGCAACCTTTGGGAAGTACAGGTAGCGAAAGCCTCCGGTCGTCCTTATCGTCATTCCGGATCAAGAAGTCCCCAAACCCCTGAAGGTACGACCAAATAGCCTGGACTTGGGACTATTTGCCGATTTGAAGCCCCTGGTAACACTCTCCTCTAAAGCCCCCGATGTCCCAAGCTCGCAGTCCCCAGGCTATGAAGAGCCATGTCATGGTCGTATTCTCAACACGGATATCAGGAAAACAAGAAGCAGAAGTGTAAGGAAAGGACCAGATGAAAAGGTCTCCGAAGCCATGATCCGCACATTTTCGGATTTTTGCGAGGCCGCTGCTGCCGAGGATCAATTGCTCACAAGAAGTGTTGGTGTGGTAGTAGGAGCACAAGTGATCTGGGGAGTCAGGTCAAAGCGACTCGCAAAACCATTCCTGCAGTAATAACTGTCGAGATTCTGATCCCCATAAACACTGTAAGCTCTACAGGCATAACTGATGCACTAAACTCCCAAACGCTAAAACCCGTGAAGAGGATTCGCCTTGCCTCTACTGCCATCTGCGAAGGTGATTCGAGACGCACCAACCGTGGGTCTCGTGTCACTGGCATAGTAGCCTGCCATCAGCAAGCCCTAAACCCCTAAACTTTAAACCCCAAACCCCAACCCCAAACCCTAAACCCCAAACCCTAGATAACCCTGAAGTGCCATCAATGGCAGGGCAACGTATCTCGGCATCCGCCTTGCTTTGACTCTAAAACACCCTGCAAGCACTTGCTTGAAGGGACTACGACCTAGGACTTGGGGCGCTGAGCTCGAAAACCAAAAGCACATCTCCTACTCTTTCGCCTGTCGTTTGCTTGTCGTCCGAGGTGTACACCGCCCGGAACGTGTGAGGCCAATGAGGCTGTGGCAAGGCGCCTGTCTGGCACTGTAATTTGCATGATGCTGTCGTGTTATGATTCATCACATTGGCTGCTTACGCTCCTGCACACTACTCTGCTGTATAACCCATTTCCGGAGCACCAACTCCCTGAAGCAGCAGCCACGTGAGGCAGGCGTTCATCGCACCGCCCATTAGGTCGGTCGGATGGTTCAGCTGTTCTCTTGTGAGATGTCTTTGAACATCGAGGCAAGCTTGCACAACTCGTGAACTGCTTTGGTCTCCTGTCACCTGTTGGGCTGGGCTCAGCAGTCTTTAGCCATGGTCTCAGGACTGAGCACAGAGCTGCCGATGCACTTTGAAAGACTGCTATCTTAGAGTCTTCAGAGCTCTGGTGCTGCAACTTCCTGTGCAAAGGACGGGCTGCGTATGCATGCAACACGACAGCAGCCTTTGTCTCGCGAGGGTTGCATCTAGTCGAAATGCTGCGTCTAGTGGGATGCGCTTAGCTTCCTCAAGGCATCGGACTCCGAAACAGCCACCGCCGCAATCACAGCCCACAAGTCAATCAGTTCAAACTTCGAGGCAGTCGCTGAATCTGAAGAGGGCACGGACCTCTGTGCAGTCCCCCAAGTCCTGAGGCCAGCCAGCGGTCCTTCAAACTAAGCTAGACCATTGCACACTTGGGCAGCGCAGCTGCATTCTCCACAAAGCCCGAAGGAAAATTGCAGCTGCCTAGTGCCGGCACGGGGCGGCAACTCCCTCGAATTCGCTCACAGGCCACGATTCAAAGCCAGCAAAGATGCTCTTGCCCTGTTTCGGTGGAGTCACAGGGTGGCAAATACGCGCTTTTGCGTTCGCTCAGCAGCACAGAAGGCGATTCTCATCAGGATTGGGTGCCGATGTGCACACTGCGGTCCTGCCATAAACCGCAAAATCTCAAATCCAATGCGGGAGGGAGATCTGCAGGCCACAAACGTGCCTGAAAGGCTTTTGAAGAGCCCGGTGCAACAGAGATACGCAGGATGACTGTAGGTCAGTGACTGATAAGCCAGGCATTCTTAGGAGATTTGGCGGGTTGCGAATATCCTTTTCTCCCTTCTCTGGCATCGCGCACCCAGCCGCTTCGCGGCGAGACGGGAATTTAGACGATAAACCTGGCACTTCGTGCAACAGGATTCAAATCCAACCTGGTGCCGGCATCAAACAGGGCAGCACCGCGCTCGAAGTCAGCAAAGTTATGAACCCTGCCCTCTACAGATCCCCCTTTGCAATTGGCAAGCCGCTGTGTGGGGCTTCGAGCTGTGTTGCAAGCCGGGACTGCGCAGCCCCGACAGTTGAATTGAATTCAAACAGCCTCGACCGTGAGCTTGCAGTGCAAGGTATGAAGAAGATTGGACCTATGCTCGCTTTGCATGGCCTGTGGGCAGCAGGACAATGTGGGCTACCTTCGACTGCCAACGTAGCTCAGGACGACACAACATGACCTGCCTTAGATTATGACATATATAATTCATTCACGTAACCGAACCCTGTACCGAGAACCTGCCCTATGCAAGCGCTCGGGAAGGGCTTTCCGGAACGTGCATCGGGAGAGCACCGTCCCGCGAGATGCTGTACAAGGATACATAGCTTCGCATTTTCACGGAAGTTAGCAGTCACACAGAACCATCGTCTTAAGGAAGCACGGATGTAGCTTCGTCGCGTGAGCTGACCGCCTGCAACTTGCGGTATCCCTGTTTCTTATTCGAGTGACCATGGCGAGTGCCTTTTGTTGAAAGACAAACCAAGAGCAACACAGCCACCCTCGATTGCTCGACCGGGAGGCCGTCCGGCAGTACTAACAACATCGCCGTAGAAAGCGCACACCCTCAACCGCAAAGCCTGTTCGCCTGAAACTTCAATCTTCCTCCACCTCTTTCCCGGCACATCCACCCCAAATTCATGCCGACACCCTTTGTCGAGAAATCGGAAAGTGCCAACGCTGATGGTGAGGACCTGAATGCTCGTAGCAAAGCACGAAACGAGTAGCAGTAAC